AATAACATTCCTGACTAACACTGATTGGAAGATTCTTGGGAATTACTTTCAGTAAACTGAGTTTATGAATCACTGAAAAATAATTCATTCAGTTCCCCCTTTTTTTCATGATAAGGAGCGCACAACAGGCCCGATAGTGGTCTAGGTGTATTTCTTCGGATTTGATGTAGTATACATCCTCCTATCAACCTACCTACCATATATACATTGGTATATAACCGATTGTATTCTAGGAGATTTTGTGGAAGAGGTTACTGTGGTCACATCGGCATCTACACATTATAGAGTTGTTATATGACAATAACTTTGGTAGAAGTTGGTTTTTTGACTCAAATATTTTTTGTTCAATAGATGGAACACCCGAATCGATTAATAGTATTGGTGATAAATAGTTTTTATGGGATTTAATTTTTTTTGGCAGCATTTCCATAAAAGGGAAGCCCATAATCTATTTTACTTAGAATTGGGGTTTCTATTAAATATGTATGTGTATTTATGTGAGTGTAACTTCTTGTTACTAGATATATTACGAGATTAGCACTGGGCACAAGTGATCTTTTTACATACGAAATATGTTCTTTCCAACGATAGTTTTTTTCCAACTAATAATTTAGAGTAGAAAAAAATATTTCACTAGGCTGTAAAAACAAATATTTTAACTATTTTTAAAATATTTTTAGTTAAAAATTTTAAATATCACTATCACTATTGTTGAGTGAGGCTTATATTTTTCAATTATGAGAAAATCGTTCGAAAAGCCAAACGAGACTCCTGGAAACTTTTCTGTGAACAGGTAGATAGCGTAAATGACGTATCGAAGATAAAAAATTCCTATCCAAAACTCATGTCCAACAGGAGGCTGGAGGATATGGAGTAGTCAATGAAACTCCTAATGGACTCTCATTTCCCACCCGGTATATCAAATAACATAGATGAACCGATATTGGAGGAAAGGGAGGCTAACACGGAAATTGTAATTACATCTGATATGCTTAAAGGAGCAATCAAGAGCTTCGCTCCCTATAAAGCTGCACGGCCGGATGGCATTTTCCCAGCACTCTTACAGATGGAGGCGGGACTGGTTTCCATACATCTGTCTCAGATATTCATTGCATGCTTGAAATTCACATATACCCCCATTAAATGGCAGGATGCAAGGGTAATATTTATACCTAAACGAGGGAAATCTAGCTATTCGACACCTAAGTCTTATCGACCGATAAGTCTTACGTCCTTCCTACTTAAAACCTTGGAACGGATAGTCGATAGTATGGTTAAAAGCAGTATACCCGACAAAGACCTAAAATTGAAGCAGCATGCTTATATAAAGGGACGATCGGTGGAAACCGCTTTAAACGAAGTTGTCCACTACATGGGTGCATCCTTTGATAGCAAACTATATACACTGGCGGTATGCATTGACATCGAAGGCGCCTTCAATAATGTGCACACTGATACTCTTATCCAATCCCTAGACCAGTTTTATGTTGAGTGGGTGCTCCGTAACTGGATCAACCACATGCTAAGTATTTCGCGGTATACCACAGGATGGCATTTTGTCACCTTTACTCTGGGTTACCACGATTAAGAGCCTCCTAAGGACCCTAACCGAGAAAGGACTTAGACCTGTCTGCTATACAGACGATGTCGTAATACTTTTAAAGGGAAAGGATCCAAATTACTTGTGTAGAAGAGCTGAGGAGACTGAATACGGCCTTGAGCTGGGCTCAACCGAGGGCCTCAATGTTAACCCGGCAAAAACGGAAATCTGTCTTCTCACAAGAAAGACAAAAAATATCTACGTATACTGAACCTTGCTTCCTGGGCAAGAAGATACCAGTGACAGACAAAGGTGTAATCCTCGACCGGAAATTAAAATGGAGACACCACATAGAGGATAGGACCAACAAGGCCCATCGGTGCTGAGCGATATGTAGGAGAACTATAGGCATGAAATGGGGTCTTAGTCCTACTATGACAAATTGGCTTTATAAAGGTGTAATTAGGCCAATTCTAGCTTATCCTTCAATAATCTGGTGGACTGCTTTAGACAAAAAGTGCAATATCAAACGACTACAGGGAGTTCAGTGTACATGCTGCTTGGGTATAAGTGGTGCCATGTGTACTACTTCAACCAAGACTCTGGAAACGGTGCTAGATATTCAACCCATTGAAACATATTTAAGATATGAGGCGGCACTTACAGCCGAATGGCTCTTTACTTTAGGCGAACGAAAAATCTCCTCAAAATGAGCAAGTCTGAAGTTAGTATGATGGTACGTATTCTGAGTGGACACACAGGATTACGAGCACATCTATGCATAATTGGACGTGCGGATTCAGACGAATGTAGAGCATGTGGAGAGGACAGTGAAACTCTGGAGCACTTTCTTTGCCACTGCCAGACATTCGTCGAAGTTAGATACAAGTATCTTGGAAGTGATGTTATTCCGGAAATAACATTCCTGACTAACACTGATTGGAAGATTCTTAGGAATTACTTTCAGTAAACCGAGTTTATGAATCACTGAAAAATAATTCATTCAGTTCCCCCTTTTTTCATGATAAGGAGCGCACAACAGGCCCGATAGTGGTCTAGGTGTATTTCTTCGGATTTGATGTAGTATACATCCTCCTATCAACCTACCTACCATATATACATTGGTATATAACCGATTGTATTCTAGGAGATTTTGTGGAAGAGGTTACTGTGGTCACATCGGCATCTACATATTATAGAGTTGTTATATGACAATAACTTTGGTAGAAGTTGGTTTTTTGACTCAAATATTTTTTGTTCAATAGATGGAACACCCGAATCGATTAATAGTATTGGTGATAAATTGTTTTTATGGGATTTAATTTTTTTTGGCAGCATTTCCATAAAAGGGAAGCCCATAATCTATTTTACTTAGAATTGGGGTTTCTATTAAATATGTATGTGTATTTATGTGAGTGTAACTTCTTGTTACTAGATATCTTACGAGATTAGCACTGGGCACAAGTGATCTTTTTACATACGAAATATGTTCTTTCCAACGATAGTTTTTTTCCATTATTACTCCTAAAATCTTTTGATCTGTTTTGAAATTACAGTATTATTAACAGTCAATAATACTGGAATGAGTTTTTTATTTTAGATGTATCATTGTTTTTACACAAAATATATATTATTACTCCTAAAATCTTTTTCTTATTTACAATAGAAATTCCAGTATTATTAACAGATATGTAATAAGGTTGATTTTTCTAAAGATATTTTTGCACCAGATGTTTCTGACCATTTTTCAATTAGTTTTTTTTTCCAATGAGTTTTTTATTTTAGATGTTTCATTGTTTTTAATATATAAGTCATCGGCGTAAAGACAATGATCAACAAATTTGTTTTTTTTAAATAATATTACTTATTTGATTAAATGTGATTTGAAACAGTACAACAGATAAAGGAGATCCTTGAGGAATTCCATTAGAAAGTGGGTATTCAGTAGAATATTCTTGATTTATCTGAACTTTAATTGTTCTTCCAGTTAAAAATGATTTTATGTAGTTATAGATTTTAGAACCAATACCCCATGTTCTCAATGTATGCAATATGACGTGATCCTACACGTCCAATGCTTTCTCGAAATCAATACCTAAGATTGACGTGTGATTCCTTGATGATAGGGTTTTTGTAATGTAATAATCAATATGTAGCAAAGCATCAACGCACCCACGATTGGATTTAAATGCAACTTGGTTTATGGCTACAAGTTTCTTTGATTCTACATACCATGCAATACGTTTCGCAATAATCCTTTCTATCGGTTTGAAAAGACATGACAATAAAATATATATCCTGAAAAGTCAGAGTGGTCTCTGTTGGGTTTAGGAATACAGGTTATAACAGCAGTTTTCCATGAATGTGGAAATATACCATTATTAAATATTTTGTTATAATGGCGAAGAAGAATGAGTTTACTTGAGTTTGAAAGATTTTTAATCATTTCATAGGAAATTCTATCAAATCCTGGAGATGAACCGTTAACTTTATTTTAAACCATTACCAGTTCTCACATATCAATTGGGGATTCAATAAGTTCCGCTAAATTGTTTCCAGCTCGTACAGATATTGTTTTTGGTAGAATTAAAACTTGTTGAAAAGTTCGAATCTGAGGAATACTTTGACCACTTGCTAGCAAAAAAGTTAGCAATTAAATTCGAATCTGTGATGATTCCGTTATGAGTGCGTATTGCAGAGATAGGTTGTGCGTAGTTACGGTTTGATAACATATTGACTACTCCATATCATAGATATTGGCGAGTCCCTACATATATTTTTTGTAAAATTCTCAAAACAAAAGGCTTCAGCTTTTTTACATTCAAGCCTAAATTTGCCGTTAGATTTTTTATAGTTGATTAAATTAAAATTAGTAGGATGCTTTTGAAAGAATTGCCATGTTTTGGTTTTCTCGACTCGAAGTTCCGATAACATTGAATTCCACCATGGAACGAAATGCTTGCGAACTGCTGATGTTTGTTGTTGTTGTAACAGCTAAAACTATACAATAATCTAGTTGGGGGGTTCTACATCAATGTCCAGGTCTAAAAATTGGGCTACTTCAACTGGATGCGTCCATAAATCCATTGGACAGAGTGAAGTAGGGTTGGCTGAGCAGTTGAATATGTGGTGGGTGTCATGAGGACCCTGACCACATGCAGGACATTCGTTGGGGATGGCACGGTCTACACGTGACCAGTAGGCATTGAGCCTGTTGCTCCATTCCAATCTTAGTTGTGCCAGAACTACTCTTGTTTTCCGCGGCAGGGTTTCTTCCGTGTCTGCTATGGGCGGTGGGCGACCTCCAATTACGACATTCATGCGGTATCCTGCGACCGCGGAATTTATGGCGTCTCTATGAATGTCGTTCAAAGCTGCCGAATACGAGGACTGATCCAGTGGATCCCGCACATATCTGCATATGTTTTCCTCGTATATACGAAGATCCGTCCTGACATGCCTCGGGGGAGTATCCAATTGTGTTATGTTAAAATTGGGATGACTTCTCCGATGACATCCCAGGAGGAACTGTTTAGTCAACATGACATTGTGTTCCTTGACTGGAAGGACCTTCGTTTCCTCGTGCAGGTGATGTTCCGAGGTAATTTGTAGGCAGCCCGTTACAGTCCTTAGGGCGGCATTTTGGCAGCTTTGAATGTTTCTCCACTGGGTATCACTTAGCGAAGGTGACCACACTGGAGCAGCATAGTTAATCACTGACCGATCAATCGTTTTAAATGTAGCCAACAAGGTTTCTTTATCCATACCCCAAGTGCTGCCGGCTAGCGCTTTGAGGACCTTGTTTCTACTTCGCAATTTGTGCGTGATTGCAGTGGCGTGAGCTGAGGAAGTAAAGAGGCTATCAAATGTGACCCCCAATATTTTTGGGTGGTGCACGATCGGAATTTGGACTCCATCGACCACGATGCCAAGGTTTAGGTTTACTTCCTTCGTCCAGGTGGTAAAAAGTGTTGTTGACGACTTCGCTGGTGATAATTGCAGGTTACGCGCAGTGAAGAACTGATGTATTTCGTGGAGATAACCATTCACCAGAACTCATAATTCATCAATGTTGTGGTCCGTCGCCATGATTGTACAGTCGTCCGCATATGAAATCACTTCCACGCCTTGTGGAGGTGCGGGGAGCTTAGAGAGGTAGAAGTTAAACAAAAGTGGCGATAGTACTCCACCTTGAGGTACGCCTTGTTTAACTCTACGGGGTTTGGAGCGTCTGTATCTAAACTCCACGAACGACTGACGGCCACTCAGATAATTTACGATCCATCTCTTCGTGTTGTTGGGCATTGTGGATTGCAGGATATCCTCGAAGATTGTGGCGTGACTGACAGTGTCGAAGGCCTTCGACAGGTCAAGAGCCACTAGGACCGTCCTTTCACAGGGCCTCTGCTGGTTTAAGCCTTGTGAGATCTGAGTGGCAATGGCGGTTAATGCTGTAGTGGTGCTGTGCATTTTGGGGAAGCCATGCTGGTGACAAGCTGCTGTTAGGTGGCTGGAGAGCTGGGGGAGGAGAAGCGCCTCAAAAGTCTTCGCGACTGGTGATAGGAGGGAAATCGGCCTGTATGATTGTCCCTCTGTCGCGTCTTTCCCAGGTTTTAAAATGGGAATGACTCTACACTTTTTCCAGGCTTCGGGTATTACGAGGCTGCTCACTGACTTGTTGAAAACCATAGTCAGGTACTCAACTCCAAGCAAGCTGATGTTTGTCGTATATAATGGTTGGCTTTAGTTCTTATGATTTTTGTAATTACGGCAATTTTTTTATTTATATTATTATAAAATACTTTTTTGTTGAGCTCATTATAAATTTTTTACTTAAAAAGATCCCAGTTAGCTTTCTTAATGTTGAATTTTCTCTTTTTTTTGTTTGTTTTGTTTTTGCGTTTCCTGTAGAGAAATCAAATGTGGATTTTGTTCTTTCAAAATAAGTTAAAAATCAATATACGTAATTATTATTAAGATATCCTTTTATATTCCATTGAAACATTTGAAATGTCATGTAAATTAGTTAGTGAATATAAATTAATGAGGGATATAAGAGGGATTATGTTTCCATTTTTTCTTCTCTATACATTGAGAGTCGTCTCTGAGTAATTTTAGCGGCAGCTGATTATCTTGTCTCCATTCTGTCAAGTGATGTGCCTTTTGAATTTGGCTTTTGGGTTGCTGTTGTTTTTGTTGTGTGTTTTTCTGAGATTTCCATTTGTTTTTATTATATATCTCATTTCAATACTAAAGATTTTTGGCATTCAACTACGCCTTGATCTTTAAGTCCACTTTTAAACTTCTCTTCGCTCAAATCACGTAGAAATGGCGCAAATACAACACTTTTGATTGTATTTTAGGTAGGATGTAAAGTACATTCGATTGGACCTAGTCCGGACCGGGTAACGTAGTGGCTTTTAAAAATCTATTAGCTTGTACTTAATTTTTTGTTAAAATTAAGCTAATTTTTTTTGGTATAGCTAATTTTTTCCATTGGTTCATTGGATATACCTTTTACGGCTTTAGACACCAAAAATATATTAAAAGATTGTATACATTTTTCGGGAACTTTGCTTTTTATAGTAATATATTTTGGACAAATCTTTTTATTTTTGTCAGTTTGATTTTCTCCATATTTGGGAAAATCAAAGTTGTTAAAGTTACTTTTTCCGCTTAGGCGATGGATCGGGTTCCAAAAATGAAAAATAATTTCCTCCTGAGGAGGAAGACATTATTAAGCACTACCACTAGTTATAATATAATAAATAAAGAAATAAATCAAAAAAGAAATTGTTTCTGCTAATTATTTTAAGTAGATATAAGGCAGGAATTTATCATCAATAAACTGCCCAGCAAAAAAGTGTGGAAAAAGATGTAGAATTTTCATCACAACCCAGCAAAAAATAATTGATGTCATACTTTACAAACTATATCGAATTTGAAGCACTTCGGGTTACTAGTTGTGATGAAAATTCTACATCTTTTTCCACACTTTTTTTGCTGGGAACTAGTAACCCGAAGTGCTTCAAAGTAACCTATGAATTTTACATTAGCGTGTCATTGGAGGGATGTTGTTCATTTTTGGCAACTTTGAACTACATCTGATCATATTTTTAGAAGCAGTAAAAATCCGATATTTGGATGTTAAAAATAAAACACATTCTCTTAATGACACGCTTATGTAAATTTCACTACTCTTTCACCAAATCGAGATGTACTTCAAATATGTTATTTGTAATGACTTTTCCACATCTCTTTCCTCACTTTTAACTGGGGTTTCATTTGTAAGGAAATATTTGGTTTATAAAAGTGAAAAATATGTAATCGCATTTTAAGATGTGATTAAGATGTAGTTTGTAAAGTATGACATCAATTATTTTTTGCTGGGTGTGTAAAGATTGCGAGATTTAAATAACACGTCTATACACTACAAGCGCTTTTTATTGAATTTAATATTTATTTACATATTTATTACGGTATTATAAATTGTTTGCTTACAGTAGTCTTAATTACAAAAGAGTTTAGGAAAATTAAAATATTTTTCTACTTTGTTATTTAAAAAAATTATTTATAACATAAGCGTTTTAAATTAATATTGATGGGAAGGAAAAATCAAAAAAAAAAAAAACTTTATGAAAAGCTTAAGAATAATTATGTTAGCGGAATAAAATTATGCTGCGACCTGTTCATTGATGTGACTATACCTAGACCAACGGTTCCCAAAAGGGGGTCCGCGGACCCCTAGTGGTCCGTAGCAAAATCCTAGGGGGTCCGCGAAGACGAACGAAAAAAATCATGAATAAAAAATATTATCTATATGTTAGAAAATATTAAAAATATCTCCAAATTTGTCATAAATACTAAAATACACAATTTTTATTCAATAATCCCAGATTTGTTGGTGACTCTTTGAATTTTATTGTTTCGGTCGTTTATCAGGATGAAGCTAGGCCTTACAAATTTATTGTTTCACTTTTATAAAGTAAAGTATTAAGTGATTTGTAATTTTTATAAATGTATATGTATCGAAATAAATGTTTTTATAGCAGACGGATAATGATTTGCCTTAGAATTAAATACTGATACTGGTATCCCAGGTTAGGTCACATTTCATAATATTTTTTTAAATTGTAAGCAAAAGTGTTAATCTAGTTAATTTTAAATATAAATATTCCATTCCGACGTGATACACAGATTTTAACTTCATTTTGTTGTCCAATATTATTAAATCAACATCAGAAAATTCATAGCGTTTTGCGTAAATAGTCAAAACCACGCAGTAAAATAATTCGTAGGTATTTTAAAATTCAAAATTAAGATCCAAATTCACAGTACATTCGCAAAGAGTTCAGGTCATATTTTATGTGGGTAACGCATTCCGCAACAACATCGAAGAAGTCTAACTTTCACATATTTTCTCGAAAACTTAGCTTACATACTCAGCTCACTCCTATGCAATCGCAAAAAAATTTAGAAACATGACTCTTTAAGCACATGTCGACAATACTTGATAAAGAAACCTTTTCTATACCTTGACGAGAAATGAACATGAAAGCTCTCACGATCATAAAATTAAACATCATGTTAGAAGTCATTCTATATTTAAAACCATGCAATTGAAAACATCTCCGATCTCAATGTACGGGAATATTTTATAGGGTTTATGGACCAGGACTAAGACAATTTTCGGACGAACAATTACACAGTGATACAGCAAAAAAATGCAGGGGTTCTCATATACCAATTCCATTTCGTTATAGTCCATAGAGTAGGAATATATTTTTAATTTTTCCCGATCACTTCGTTTAGTTCCTTTTTAAGAGCAAAAGATGTGAAAAAGAGCTATTTTTGAAGTTTTAACTTTAAAAAAATATATTTATGGTAGTTTGCAACCGATTTTCAAATTGGATATTTTGTTTTAAAGATACAAGTGTTGTCTTTCAACCCAAAAAAATAAATCCAAAATTTATGATTAATGTCTTGGTTACGGCCTTTTAAGTAAAAAAACTCACATTTTTTCACAATTTTTAATTTTCATACTGCTCTACGTTGGCCATGAAGCAGTAACTTTAGCTTTTATTACATTTGAAAAAAGGCACATTAAGTTGGGTTTCCAATGATGGTCAATTTATGATAATCGATGAAAAAGGTTATGAGTTGTGCTAAGTTTTATAAAAATATAGCATATTTCTTCCATACAAAAACGTTCATGTTTCTGGTTTTCTTTGTAACAAGTTTAAAAAATGTTTATAAACATTTTTATACAAAAATTAATTTGTATGGAGAAAACCAAAAATTCGAGGAACATGCTATTAGAAAAATTGGCATAAATCATCCAGTTTTTCATAGATTTTTATGAAATAACAAGTTTTAGAAACCTTCCTTTATGTGATTCTTCAGGAAAGTAATAAAAGATGAACTCACTGCCTCAAGGTCAAAGTAGAGCATGATGAAAATGAAATTTTTTTAAAAAAGTGTGAGTTTCTTTACTTAAACGGCAACACTTGTATCATTAAAAAAAATATCGGATTTGAAAATCGGATGAAAACTACTACTAAACTTATGATTTTTCAAATTTAAAACTTCAAAAATGGCTCTTTTTCGCATCTTTTGCTCTTAAAAAGTAAGTTAACGAAGTGATAGGGGAAAACTAAAAATATATTCGTACTCTATGGACTATAACGAAATAGAATTGGTATATGAGAACGCCTGCATTTTATTTTTCTTCACTTTTGTATCACAGTGTTATTTATAACAATAAGATATCAAAATATGTATGGGGGTCCGTGAAATTAAATAAATTCCTCAAGGGGTCCGCGAAGTAAAAAACGGTGGGAACCGCTGACCTAGACAATTCGCATTTTTTGTTGAAATTTGTTGTTATTTTATGTATCTTCTCATAAATAAGATCAAAGCCAGACATATATTGTTAATACCATCTAATAAAAAATAATCAGTTTTATGTGCAACAATAGTATTTCTTATAACATTTACTGTGTTGTTCACGTATGCAATCGTTGTAGCATCGCCAGGATGTGTTGTCATATGATTTGAATTAAATAGTTGAGCTAGTAAGTCACACTTTTCCTGCTGCGCCATTGTGTTTTAGTATAGGGATGTTTTTTATTTTCTTATTGAGAATTTTAGAAATTTTCCAGATGGGCGTGAGGATTTGTCTAGAGTAGATATCTTATTTAATAATAGCAGGAAAAAACGAAGTTGGCTGACTGCTTAACGGATTTTATAATATTATGGGTATTTTTACTCTGAATCAATTTATTGCAATTCAAAATCAGTTATAATTAATTAATTTAAATATTAAAAATTAATTCGTAATACATTTAATAATAGATTTTAAAGCAAATATAGTGCACCAATGAAAATTCAATTGAGAATCGTCGAATGTTCATTGGTTTGTAAGCACTCATTTTAATGCCGAAATATTTTTTTAAATACGAACCCATGCGCTCCAATGACACGCTAATGTTAAAATCATGCATTTTTCGCCATAATATGAAGTAGTTTATTATCAGTTTGCTGGGTTAGTACGTATTCAATTTAATTTATTTTAAATACACTCCTAAATTCTTATAAATTCGTCACAAGTGAACGCATGAAAAATTGCATATACATATGTATGTATGTAATTCACTCATGTAACTCTACTATAGGAATTGTAATATTCCACTACAATTTGGTATTGTTTTAGGATTTAAAAGAAACGTTCATTTTATATAATAAATTTTGAAAATAACATAAATTTTATTAGATTTTTATAAATAATATTTACATATGGTGTGTGACTAAAATGTGTAAATTTTTTAAACTAAAAAATATATTTTTGAACTAAAATAAATAAAATTTCGACTTAATTATACATCAGAAAAATAAATAAATTAAATTTAACCGTTATGATCTAAACAAAAACTAGTAAGATATATATTTTCTTAACCGATTTATGACCGATTTTCTACTTTTACTCTTATGTACATCAATACCCAACATACCAGGGTATGCATAAAAGTACAGGTCAGTTATCGGACAAAAATTAAGTTAAATTATAAATTTTGAATTTTATTATCTGATTTATATATATGTATTCTTATATCTTATGAAAAAAATTGATCTAAACATCAAATTTTGTTTAAAATACAGAGTAATATGTCATTGTTCATACATTTGTATGTAAAATCTGTTTTGGACCCTGTAATATATACAAATATGGACCGATTTTTATGAATTAAATTTTTTCATTGCATATGACTTAGTAAAGTAAAATTATTGTAGTAATTTTAATATTATATAAACAAAAATATTAAAGTCTGAATTTTAATTTTTGACCCTGACTTAACAATCTTTTTTTTGCAAATAAATTCCCTACTAACGAAAACAAAAACAAATTGTTTAATCCTAATCGATTTTGTATTAATAATATAGAAAAAATTTTGTTCTTGAAGTCAAAATTTTATAAAGTGAAACTCTACATAATGTGCATTATATATTATGTAGGGGTTTTTATTAAGGTTTTTTGCATATAATATTGTTGTTAATACCCAGCAAAAAAAGACGTGCAAAAAAAGTAGTAAATGCATGGGTTGAACTGATAATGAACTGGTTCATATTTAGGGGAAACATGCATGATTTTAACATTAGCGTGTCATTGGCATGCATGTGTTCGTATTTGGAAAAATAGTTCGCCATTTAAATGAGTTCTTATAACCAATGAATATTCGATGATTCTCAAGCGAATTTTCATTGGTGCACTATATTTATTTAAAAATGCATTAATAATGGTATTTCGATTTAATTATCAATATTTAAATAATTTTTTTGTGTGATATTGATAAAAATAAAATAAGATAAAACATAACTAACTGATTTTTATTGGATTTAAATTCATGCAGAGGAAAAATACCCATTGTGTTTTAAAATCCGTTAAACAGTCTTGGTTTTTTCCTTCTCTTATTAATGTTAAAATGGACTTAATATTACTAGGTAGGTAGGTACCTACAAAAACAAAAATCTAATAAAAAATTAATGTAATTTTTAATATTTATTGTATGAAATGCACGTTTTCGTTAAATCTCCTAAGAGAATACCAAATTATAGTAAAATATTACAATTCCTATAGTGGAGTTACATGAGTGAATTTGGGTACATTTTTCATGCCTTCACTGATGACAAATTTATTAGAATTTAGGCATGTATTTAAAACGCATTAAATAGAATACGTACAAAAGAAATCATGAAAATATCCCTTCTTCTTTAACAACTTCAAATTTTTTTTGCTGGGTAGGAAAACCACGAGAAAACTTAAAAAAATGGCTAAAATTTAATGGAATGTGGTCAAAAAATATTTAATTTATTTGTACAGACGTTTTATTAAATTAGTTTTAATAATTATAAAAATTATACACTAGAAATGTAAAAAAGGATGAAACAGTCATATATGTATGTAAATTGTATGACATACCCGGGCATGTTGGGTATTGATGTACGTAATTTTGCTCGGTTAACTCATTTACACATATTTGGCGCGTAGTACTATAGTAACATTTTTATTATAAATTAATATTTTCTAGTGCAAAATTTTTAGTATTTTGTATCTTCTAATCTCAATCAATTTGCCACACACTTCTGTTGTTCCGTCGTGTTTTTACACGAGTGTTCCGATTTAACTCTGGCGACTGTAGGGATCAATATAGCAATGAAATTCTAAGAGCGGGTTTTTGAGTTGGCAATCAAATGCCAATTAATAATCTGATTAGTTAATCTAATCATAAATTTAATCTGATGTTAATACCCTTTGATGTTTTTGAGTACAAAATTAGACTTCGCAGTGTTGCCATACTAAACAATGCATGTTTTATAAAAAAGAAGAAGACAATTGTAAATTTAATATGAAAATTAATGAAAACTTAAATTTAAAATCAAAAAAATGTATTTTGGGTGTGCATAATTTATACTAGTCAATAAATTTAACATTTTAGGGCCAATCTTTAGGTGAAAGATTAGCGATTAAATTAAAATTAATCCTCGAAAGATGTTTTTGAGTACTCAATTAGTTAATTTTGTTTGCAAGTTTAAGCGCCCAATGGAGGTGGTTTAATCTTAAGCACGAAATGCAAAAGTGTAAACAGCTGATGCAAAAAAATTAATAAAATTTTTATAAATATAAACATTAAAATGTTCTATTTATTGATTAGTATAAATTATGGACACTTGAAAATACATTTTTTTGTTTTTAATTTAAGTTTTCATTCATTTTCATATTAAATTTACAATTGTCTTCTTCTTTTTTATAAAATATGCATTGTTTTGATAACAAACCGTGAAGTTTTCTGTTGTTTTATATGGCAACACTGCGAAGTTTAATCTTGTACTGAAAAACATCAAAGGGGATTAACATAAGATCAAATTTATTTTTAGATTAACTAATCTGATTATTAATTGGCATTTGATTACCATCTCAAAAACCCGCTCTTAGTGTTTATATTTAAAAATTGAATTACAGCTGTTTACAACTTTTTTTATTTTTATTTATTTATTTAAAAAATTTTGCATTTCATGCTTAAGTTTAAACCACCTTCTTTGAGCGCTTAAACTTGCAAACAAAAATAACTAATTGAGTACTCAAAGACAACTTTCGATTATTAATTTTAATTTAATCGCTAATCTTTCACCTAAATATTGGACCTAAGAGTTTTTGGAAAAATCATAAAAATATCCAAATAAAATAGCTTTATAATATCAGTAGACATTTCGGCATTCATGTTACCATTGATTTATACATTTTTCATACGCTTTCTGATGAGAAATATCCCTAAAATAAAAGCTTTCCATCTCCAAATTTTATAACGCGCATTTCACGGTCTAGAAAGATTTATTTTTGGCTCATCTGTCCATATAACATTTATCTTATCCTTAAACGTCCAGTTCATGGACCTTTATAGAGAATTATATTAATTCTCTTTTAAAGTTTCCTTAATGTCTACACATAGAAACTTTTGTTTCAGAAACTACGTGTTAATTGCATTGATTTGTTTTTGTACGAATGATAAGAATAACAACCAAAACGAGTTTCCGAGTACAAGAAACTCCTATTTGGAACTTTTTTCATAAAAGAAAGCAATTGTTTAATACCATTGAGAGTTTATAGTTTATTTTGTGAAAATTTTGCACAAAATTTATACACTAGGTTCAAGGTGGTGAACATTTTACTGAGATATTACTTTCTATATGCCTGTCTGTCTGTTGAAATCAATTTTTTTAAAGATACCAGATATCTTCGGGATCCAAATGTTCAGATATGCTTTCGAGAAATTTCCTATTTAAAATCACCATAAATAACAGAGGTATGAGCAAAAATCCGAGAAAACCTCTGAAGATTTCATAACAAATACAATTTTTTGCATGCGTATTGAAAAAAATTATGATTGGATGTGTGTTGGTTTTATTAAACTTCGTATTTTGTTTTTGTTTTGTTATTGCTAAAATAATGATAGAGTCGGAAAAAATTAAATAAAATGAAATTTTATAAAACTAATATTTTTTTAAATACACTATGGTGAATGGTATATAAGATTCGTCAAAGGCGAATATAGACTAATTTATTTTAAGGTTAATTGCTACCATTTTCCATTCTCGAACTTACAATGTTTTCAAATCATTTGTAGGTTATATGAACAATTATTTTGTTTTTCTATATCATTAATTATAGCAATAAAAAGAAAAATAATTAAGATGGAAGTACACAACACTCGTTGAGGCGGCAACGCGTTTCACGCTTTATAAACTGCAAGTTACACATCACGCGTCATTTCGATCTTTTAAAGCTTAATGTTTCATTTTTTAAAATTGTAAGTTTTTGTATTTTTTTTCATATATTATTTCTTTCATTGTTGACGAAATTTATTTCATTATTTTTTTTTATTTTTATTCAACACAAAATAAAATAAAACCCTAATCGGCTGTCGACGCGTCAAAAGTTGAAAGTTGCTGAACTTTTCGCGGCAGACGTGTTACAAACTACAGTGTGTAACATGGTAAATAAAAATACAATATTTCAAATTTTTTGACAGAAGTCTATAAAGCGTGTT